GAAACCATGTCGAAAAAAGCATGCCTCAAAGAGTCACCTAGGAGAAAACAAAGATCTCATGAAATATAGAAAGATAAGAAAGAGAATAAAGAGGAGAAGAAATTATTTTAAATGTCTGCAAAAAAACAACCTCACTTGAAAAAAAATTTTATTTTATTGTCTAAAAATTTGGTGACTTAAAAAACTAAAGAACCTTCCTGCACTCACTTATTTTAACAACACACGTTTTAAGAGAATTATCTAAATTTATAATGCTGTAGCTAGGTCTGATGCTTTTCATTTTTTTAACCTCCCTATACTTTTGCGCACTTCGTCAATCTGGTATTTTTTACTTTTCAGAGTCGGTAGTAAAGCTCAGAAGTTATGCAAACAAGAGTAAATAAATGAGCACGAAAATGAAAAACAGAAATGCATGTGACATATTAAAAAAAAAAGTAGATTAACAGAACTTTTATTTATAATGATTAAAATTGATTTCTTGTGTGTATTTCTGCCGTTAACAAATAATAATTTTTTTGACAACTAAAATTTATCAAAATTTTCAGATAAAGCCGTTTCACACGTAACGAAACTAAAAGAAAATCCGGCTGAAACTTATCATTAAAATATCACCCCCAACAAAAGCAAAATTTATAAAATTAAGCACGAATGCAGCAAAAAACATGAGTTTTGGTCTGGCAATCACAAAAAATAAATGAAGTCAAAGCAAAGTGTAAGCAGAAAGGAAAAAAGAAGAAAAGATAACAACCGTTCTCCGACCTTGTCTATTTGGAGTTTTCAGACCGCTGTATACAGCAGTGATAATGCCGTTCTGCGGCACTCCTTTCTTTTCTTTAATACGTCTGTTGGTACCAAACAAACGATTATCCTAAAAGTCTTAATTATTCTAAAACAAAAATTATCTTCGGACAAGTTGTCTTAACCTTGCATTACTAAAAAGAAGAAGAAAATGGTAGCCGATTAAACAAGTTGCTACACTGCTATTTTACACCAAATCACTTTATTCTGCTGTACTTTGGCTGGGTCAATCGTACCTCATCGTTATTATAAATTATTAAATATAGAGAGAACTTAGGAAGAATTTGGTAATACCTGTGCCGCACTAGCTTCTGCAAATTTTCTTGCCAACTGAAGAACAGATTCAGGTCTATTGACACTTTGAGCGCTCACAATTGGTGTACTTATTCCAGTGTCCTAAAATGCATCGCAATGTATATATACATCACAATGTATAAGCGTATATTTGTATTGGTAATCAGTTTTTGAAGAAACTAAATCTTCATATATTCTGCTTTGTTCGCATTGATGCTCTGAACAATTTACTGTTAAATCCCGCTGAAGAACCTAACACTACAAAAAAGAACTCTTTTTATATTAGCAAAATTGACTAACAAATGATGAAGAAAAAAAATACGACTGTCTTAACTGAAAATTATCCTGCATTTTCAAAACAAGAAAGATAATAAAATACGTAATATTACTCACTTCAAATAAAAGCTAAAATATGGTAAAAAGTACCAGTTTTCTGCTACTGACAGCATGGTGTTCAAGACATTTTTTTCTAGTGAGCCTGCATTTGTTGAAATTATATCACAATAGCCAGAAAAACTCAAAAAAATTTTGTTTTCTGACCTCATATCACCATTAAACTCGAAGTTCTTAGAGCTGTTTAATTTTATTAAAACTTGAAACGGCAGAAAATAATAATAAAAAGTAATTGTTTAAAAAGAACTAGAAGTTTTATAATTTCTTCTTTTTCCCAATTTCTCTTTTTTTTATAAATGAGAATTTCATTCTCGTAAAAAATTCTTTGCTTTTTTAATGACATCCTCTGCTGTTACCTTACTTCTTAAACTTCCTCTAAAATTTTACCTTGTCACATTAATTAAAAGTTTTGGCTCTCTCTCAACAATTTAAATTTTGGGTTGTGGGATAACCATTTAGATCGACTAACATGAAAAAAGAAACAAAAACCAAGTAAAAATAATCAAAGTATCAATGAGCGGGAGGGAAACTGTCGCGGTTGCCTACAGATTTGGTAAAGAGAAGCTGTCCAAAAATTTTGTACTCAAAGTACATGAATGCAAAAAAATTTTTCAAAGATGAAGACAAAAAGTGGTTTTTCCATATTGTATATCTGTTCCCTACCTTCTGTTTTTGTCTGCTTCTGCCAATTCTGATGAAGAGCGTGAAGTTAGGCAAACTTTTTGCGACTAAACCGTTTCATAAAAACTTAGAAGAAAATTCTTCAATAATTCTTCCATTAAAGTTTTTAATCAAATTTTGCTTATTTTCCTAGTTAATTCACTTATTACTTCTACACCACTTTTTACCAAAAACGATGACAGACGTATAGAGAAGTGAAAATCTATTTTTTTTACTGGCTTGTTTTAAACATCGACTTTTCCGCCATTTTTGTAAACATAGGTTAGCATTCAAGAAGAAAAGAAAAAAGACAAATAAAAAATATATATATTTTTAACTGCTTCTTTGTTCCTTATTGGCTGTCACTAGGTGACCAAAATAGAGTCGTTGTAGAAATCCAAGCAGAGAGGTGAACCATTTCTAGCGGCTCTATTTTGAAAGTCAAAAGTGTTTAATACAATCTGAAGTAACTTGAGCTGAATAGAAATAAGCCAAGTGTACAAAAAAAAGTCAACTGCTAAGAAATGGTCACAGCTGCCTTTCAGTAACGTTAGCTGTTCTCTGATAATCACATTCGCCAAAATTTCTGCACTTTTTAAATGAAAGTTTGTCGGCAGGTTTGCGTTTGCAGTAAGTTTTAGGCCAAGCATTCTCTCTTAAAGCCGCAGGATTAAAACTAGTGCTCTCTATGAGACAACATTCCTGTCACTTTTCACTTTTACAAGAGACTTACAATTCAGCAGCTTCGCGCTTTTGTTTCGCTTATCCTTTCACTTACTGAAACTTCATTTTAGAAACAAACTGCAAATTTGTGGTCACAAAGATACCAACTTTTTATATTCTCAAAATCAACACGTTATCCTGCTTGGAAAATTACATCTGTTTTTTTATTTGCGGTGTTATAAGAAGTGACCTTAGAGCGTAACTAAGTATGTTTCAACGTAATAAATACAATAGCTGCTAAAATTTGAGGGAAGGCAATGTAACAGAAATTTTTTCTTGAGTTTCTGCTGTGGTTTTTCTTTTTGAACACTGCGGTCCGCTAAATTTTGTTTAAAAAGTTATTAACCTTTAAAATACGAAAGTTTAGACAAAAAAAATTTACATATTTGTAAGGTATAAGCCGACAAATGTCACCACGTAAATACCTTTAAACTGCGATGTTTATTGAACTTAATATTGCGCAACTGAGTACTAACATCATATTTTTGCTAATAATTGAATGTCCATTTCAAATCTGTAAACGTTAAACGTTAAAACACTAGAAACGTCATTTTTAAATAGTACAAAACACGTTCACTTTGTAGAAGAAGACTCAGTCATGTTTATCAGTCTATAACCCATTATTATTTTTAGCTTAATATAGATAAAAACCGGTAAAATCCTTTATAAAAAACAAAATTGTCTATCTTCCATTCCCATTAAAATTAGATTATAACAAATGTAGTCCCTTGCTAAATCCTCCCGTTTCTTTTTCAAATTTACGTCTCTACTAAACATACTTTTTAAACTTCCAGCGTAAAAAATACTGAATAATACCTACTTTTAAGCCTGCAGCGCCAAAGCTTCTAATTAAATTCAAATTCAACTAATTTTTTCACATACGACAAAACCACAATACCTGTAAGACGTTTTGGTCGGTTAAAGATGTGAATTTTATAAACTTTGTGGCTTTAAAAAGTATCGCAGTCAGAAGCTATCGAATTCAACGTTGAAGCTTCTCACATATTATTACTTTTATTTCCATGTCAGTCCTTTTTTCGGCTTTAAGAAACATTTTTTTGTTTTAGAAACAAGTTTTGGAAACACTCTCTAATAGCGTTTAACAATCTCAATTCCTCTATGCTTTTGGCTTCCTGCCCCCTTCCCTTAGCCATTTTTGGCTCTTTAAGATCTATTGTCCATAAGCGCTCTCTTCTCCCATTGAGCTTTGCGCACTTTCCTTCAGTTAGTAAAAAAAGAACTTGTAAGCTTTTAACGTCAGTTCACTGCATACTTTTTAATGCTAAAAAACTTTTATTTTTTTCTGCAAAAAAATATTTTGAAGAAATCTCATCTCATTTTCTTTCCTCAAAAATGGTACTCTGAAGGCAAGTTCTCACAAATTTAGTTGCAAATATTGTTTAAGGCCAGCCCCTGCAGATAAAAAATAGGCCAGTATTCTAATAAGACGTTTTAATAAACTCTACATTCAAAAACAAAAATAAGTAGCAACTTTATATCTCATCTAAATCAACAGCTTCTGCTTAGGTACATCTTCGCATCAAAAAAAACCTTTTTTTCTAAGTGATTATGCACAGTCGTATCTACACGAAGATTGCTAAAAACTCTTCAAAATTTCTTTTGGTCAGATTTTGCAATGCTGGCCAAAAAACTGTTGAAGCAATACTAAATTACAATGAACATTGAGTTATACAACTACACCATGCTTCAGATGCATATAAAAAGACTACTATCAAGTTTGAATGATCTTCACAGCTAGACTCATCAAAAATAAATAATAAATAAGAATCTTACAGCGTTTGTTTCATAATGAATCACTCGTCCCAAATGCAACGCCCTCACAATCTCTTCTGAAATTTCCATAATTTAAATCGTTATCAAACTTTATTACTCATAACAAAAAAGTTCCCAGCAATACATATTTTTCTATTCGACTTTTTAAATGCCATATCAAGTAGACAAAGCATTCGACATCAACAACCAGTTTATAATTGGAACTTTCTATGTGCTACAGTGTCTCAGAGAACTACTTTTCGTCTTTAATTCACAACAGATTCTGATTCTCTAAAAGTCCAGTTTAAAAAACGTAAATTACGCTTTGAAACAGAGGAGTACAGACTCGAAAGATAAATTCAAGACAAAATGCCACCTGAAAAAGCATCACGCAAGTATGCTGGAACACTTCGACGTCTACTTTTATTTGCCTGAAAATAACTTGCACTAAACAAAACTTCTCCTAAAAAAAACAATTCTCATTGATTCAGTTCGAAAAAATCAAGCGTTCTCAGTTTATTACTGTGCGTATAGACCACCCCATATCAAATTGCTCAATTTTTACGTCTAACCATTATACTGTTTAAAACTTGAGTTACTGGTAAGATTCTATCTGCCTTGTAAAACAGAAAAAGCCATCTTGCTAGCTCTTTTATATTGAAAATGCATCTTCCTCAGAAATAAGAAAGGTGTTGCACCTTTTTACGCAAAGAAGGTTTATGTTGACAGACTCAGTCGCTTCACTCTTTGCAGGATTAAATACTTTTAATGCTATTTTGAACGAGTTTTCTGCATTTTGGAAACGCTAGTTTTTTCTGCCAACTGCAAAAGAAACTTACTGTCTAAAAGGAAGTGAAAAACATCATCTTTAAATTCTTTCAAAAGAGGAATTTTTTTGTAAAATATCTATTTCTATGAGACGTTATAAAACTTTTTTTACGTCTGCCTTTTGGCACTGAAATGCAGATAAGTTATGAAAAAAACGATAAGGTAAAATATTAAAAAATTATGTAGGACAAAAGATTCTCGGTGGTGCGCCGTTGGAGACCTTATTGCTAGTTCTAGATTACTGTAAAAAATGATCGACACTGAAGTTACTTGAAGAGTCCAATCGCTCATTTTTATAAACAACTGGCGAAGGAGAAAGAATTTTTAATTCAGACTTTTTTCAACTAACCTGTCTATCAGCAGTCCATGTTAATGCTTTTTTTAAGTGCTTTTTTTTTTTTTTACAGAAATTCTGCACAGAAACTTTCATCTTCAAAAATTGAAAATCCAGTTTTAATCAACTCTTAGGCAGAAGGATTCGTAAAACATTACATTACTTTTGCGATTTATAAGAAAACTAAAATTCTAAAAAGTTTATAAAGCAGAAAACATGTTTTTTAAATCAGTTGAAAAGTACTTAATTCCTGAAAGCGCAACGAGTGACAATCTTTTAAAGCAAAGCATATGCGCTCTCGCGCCACTTTAGAAGTCTCATTTTTCATTAATAGCAGCTAGCAGGGTAACCTTTTCTTTTTTGCATTCTGAAGCAAAACCTTATCATTCGTCATCTTCATAAAAAATTAGAGAGGTTTACCAAAAAAGTGGCCGCTTTGAGACAAAATACTCCATACTCAACTTTATTTTACTCTTGCCTTTCTGCTCTTTTTTCTACTTTTTGTTCCATTTGCCTTTCTTGGAAAATTAATCAACGTAAAATCATTTAAAGCCTTCATTAAAAAAAGCAAAAGCTCTGCTTTTCCCTACATCTTTTAATAGCACTGGAAAAGAAAAACCATCTTTTTTGTCAAAAACGGCAGGAAAAGAAGGAAATAGAATTATGAAATATATGTTGACATATCTGTACTTTAGCAGTGCACGTATTTATTGTTTAGAATCACGCCAATTTTTATTTGACAACTAACGTTAGATTTTCTAGTTCGCAGTCTTGCATGAGAAACAGAAGACAAGCGAGGAGAACGGCCACGAACATTCAAACTGTCATCTTCGAAAATTTGCTGAAATACTTCCCCGATGATAAGCAATATTAAAAAGAAAAAGAAGCGATAAAATCTCAGTGTCAACTCAAAAGTAATGATATGAATGGTAGCCACTATATTTACATTTAAGCTCGGTTACGTTATTGTTGTTTTGGAATGTGTTTAGGAAAAATACCTGCTCATTTTCCTGATCAGATTCTGAACTAGCAGAACCGTAGCCTGACGAACCTTTAGAAGTCGCTGTTACTTTACGAAGGCTACTCCAAATGCTCCGGCCGCTGCAAAAAGTCTGAAAAAAAATTTATATATATACACAAATATGTATATATTGTCAATTTTTTCTAATGTATGAAAATACTTTGCAATCGTCGCTTGGCGAAATCTGATCAAATTCTGGTGTAAGACATATGCTTGGACGACTGTCGCTGCGGTAGGGCACAGAATCAACTGAAGCGGTGAACTGGTGACAACCATCTTGCTGACAAAACGACGGTATAATAACAGAATTTTTCCACGGCGAATAAGAAAAATCGACAATTCCAGTCGCCCGGATGTTGGACATAATTGCTGTGTAGCCAGGATACGGTGGCGGTGTACAGAGTAGACTGCATAGACTTCGATTCCGTATGCGCTTCTCATTTGCCGATATTTGTGAACGATCCTGTCGGCTTATTTGTCCCACCGGGACCTCAGCTAACAGCTGCGACACCATAACAGCGCCGGAGCACGCTGAAACTAACGAAAAAGAAGTAACTACCGTCAATCAACATTAAAAAATAATTTGTCATCGTCCTTCCGTTTATAGTTAGAAAAAAAAAGCACATTTCACGAAGGAATAAACAGTGAAAAAATTGGAGGTTTGCACTAGAGAAAACGGTAGAGAATTGGTAAAGCAGAACAGGCGAGTAATTTGGCAGGGAATGTTGTCTAATTACGTTTTCTTAACGATTAGCATTTTTGAGTGAAAAGCTGCATTAACACTTCACTTTTATTCTTTGATTCTTTTTTTTCAAGTTTTTCACCACTTCATTTGTTTATTTAGTTTGATTTTTTTGTTTCTTCACTCTTTACTCCGTAGTTTTTGCTTAATTCTATAAGAAAAAAGTTGGCTATTGGTAGAAAGTGTAAGACCAAACGGAATAACCAAATAAATGAAAGCTGAATTTTACAAGCATCTGCCGCACCAGCATAATCCCATAAATTTATCATCTCTGAACAATACGGCAGCGTGTAACGTTCAAACTCAAAGACTCACCGAGGTGAATAAGAAAAAGATGAAAAAATGTAAGGAAATAGAAGAATGTGATCCATAAATTTGCTAATTGCTCGTCTACAGAAAACAGTAATTTAATTTGCAAATATCTCCAAAAAAATTGACTAAATTGATTTTAAGTTCTACAGAAGAAAAAAAGAGATACAAGAAATAGCATTTATGTGATAACATATAGCCGACTCCAGAAGTATTCGGAGAAATACAGCTTTGTTTAATAAATCCACAACGGATGCATTTTTATGGCGAATGCTTACAAATAAGTAGAAACAGAACAGGGCTTTTACTGACAGTATTATTTTGCTTGTTGTTGCTATAAAGAAGGCAAATTGTCGGACCACATTAATGACAATAAAGCATTTAAACAGAATAAAAACTTTTAACCAAAAAACCAAAATAATATTACAAAAAAAGGCAGAAGTTGGGGAATACAAGCAAAAAAATGGAGCAACGGAAACAAATGTTCAAAAAATTTTCTTCCGGATCGTCCACAATTGAAAAGCTTCTACCCTAAGGAAGAGTTTACAAGAAGTTTACATGTTTAATCTAAGATAAAATCTTCTAATTTTGGTTAGCTTTTGCATAATAAATACAAATGACGACAATTTTTTTTTTTGCCCGGAAAAGACAAGACATTTCCGCAGAAAAACTCCACGAAAAATTGTCACGCAAAAAATCTATAAGTCTCCCTTTTGCTATTTTCGCTTCGGCCTTCTTCTACGATAACACAATTAAAACTTTCCAAAACTTGTCCTTCCCTTGCATCCTTCCTCTTCTCTCTTTCTTTCAAAAATAGCCAAAAAAATAAAATAAAAAAAAATAAAAAGAAAGATGACAACGCTGAAACAGCTCCAATTACTAAAGATATAAACCTAAAAAAAATTGACAAACGCGTCAGTAGCAGAAAAAGCATAACAACATCAGTAGTGACAATAACGGTATTTTTTTGACAATCTTCTTGAAAAACTTCGATAAGCTTACGAACAGCAATTTATGTGCTACAGCTAAAGCCAAGAAAAAAAAGAGTAAAAAAGTTTCCAAATAAAAAACAATTCGCTTCGAAGAATTTGAAAAAGAGATAAACCAAAGTGTTGTTTTTAGGCACTCTGCTTCTTGTTCATTTAGCCAATTAGCTAGTTAGCCCTTGCTTCTTTCTTCAACAGAATACTAAAAGTATCTGGAAAATTTGATTGACAGTAAATATACCGTCACTGCGAATGTTGAAGGCACTTTTAAATAGTACTAGTGAATTTACTACTTCAACTATATTATTTTCTTAACCGTATGTTTAAGTAGTGATAAGTCTCTGTTGCACTGCAAATAACTAATTTTCAAGCGAGAAATTCAGTTACCAAAATAAAAAACAACCTTGAAAACTTATCACGACGAAAATAGTGAAAAACTCGCTGCAGTGTTTTTTTGACTCAAGATTTCGCTCAGATGCCATTGAGTGCCGACAGAATAATAATCATTGACTAATACGCTAGTCTAATTTTATGTAAGTTCAGCCAAAGCAAGCTCAGTATCATTTCTTTTTTTTTGTCTAATAAGCACCAAGTAGAGTAGCATCTACTAAACAGAACTGATTATAAACGTAACGATAATAAAAAAAACTAACCGAAAACTTGCTGCTGACAACAGTGGCAATTGAACCAAACCAAAAAACGGTACCAAAAAAATAGAAAATTTAAAAAATTAAAAAGAGAAATGGTAAACTAATCTAAACAAAAAATATTTAAAAAATTTTTTAACCGAAGATTTGTTTGGTCACTATTTTGATTTTTTAATCATTTCTCAACAAAGTGAAGGAACCAAGAAATTTCGTGATAAATTTGATAAACACATGCAGAAAAACGCAAAAATTAAAAAAAAGCTTTTTCAGCAGTAAGCCAAGTATTTTAATGCCAACTTTTCTGTTTTTTATTCATTTTTTTCTTCTCTGTCTTTTACAGTTAGTATTGTGAATAAAGTAACAGCACACAAGGTTATTTTAATGATCAGGGTCTTAGCCAAAGCGACGACAGTTTTACACTTTCGCAAGAAAATTTTAATTTAGAAAACTATTCATGATGTACCGTTAAAGTTTCAGAGATAAAAGACAAAGAAAAAACAAATTTCTAAGCATACTAAGGCCGTAACGCCTCATCACTATTAAAACCAGAACTTTAAAACTCGTAAGTTTCCACCAGACAACCCTCAACTAAATCTTAGAAGACTTGGTAGAATTTACAGAATAACCTTACGACACAATCAAAACTGCGAAATTGGAAAGCCAGATTCACAGGCCGTCATCCAAGCGGTCCTCCTGCTTATTACATAACCTTGAAAGTAAAAAAATCCCGAAAGAGCCAAAATAACACATTGATTATCTGTTCACTGAAAAATTTAAGAAAGTTTTAAAAACCATTTCTAACAACCCTTTCTCTCGCCTAACTGTTACAGAAGCTCTCATTTGTTGGCTCACCAGTTCTTCACAACAAAAATTTGCGCTTTTACTAGGCCACTGGAATAGCGACCTACAATCCCATGCTTTCCGGTTTGTTTCTACAGTGGTAATTTATTCTGCCACAGCACGCTGCTTAGCAGCTATTCATTGCTCAACAAGTAAGACTGGCAGACGTGACTCTCTACCACTTTTTTTTGCAAAAGTTCTCAATTTCAGTCATCAAATATCTGAAAAATGAACAAGGTTGGTATATTCTAGTCAGTGCTCAGAAGATAATAAACAGCACTGCTTTTTTAATGTGATAGATTTATCAAAAATGTTTAAAAAGCACTGAGAAAGTGATCTAATATAGAGGAAAATAGACTAGAGTTTTTTGAGTGTTGGTAGCAAAAACCTAGTAACTTTTGGTTTCTTTAACCTTCTTCCGTTACCTCTTTTCTGTACTTATTTCTTCCTAAAAAATAGATTAGTTAAAATTAGTTTATGTCAAAAATGGTAAACTAATATCAATATCTGAATACTTTCCGACCGCTACTTTTGACTAGGTCAAAAGCACATTAATAAAGCCGTATTTTAAAAACCAAAAACCCCTACACAAAGTAAACGCTTTTTTAAAAAATTATAGATTAACACCTTTCTTTATTTTTTACCTTCAACTTTTATTGTGCTTGAACACCCACTTCATTTTATTAAATCTCCGAGAGTTTCTCAAAAATAAAAGACATAGACCACTTAATAAACCGAGAAATTTTGACTCCTGTCGCAGATGAGTTATAAAATATTTTTTAGATTTAGACTTACTGAGCAATAGCTCAGTAATAGTTCCAGCTTTGACAAAGCATAGCCCAGCAGCAAATTCATTTTTCTAATTTATCTTTCGAAATACCGGTCAAAACTGTATTAAACAACAAAAACTTCAAACATTCTCAATGTTAATTTAAGAAAATGCGCGCTTTGGCATGGAATGGCTTATACATATAAAGAAAATGCTTCTTATACATATAAAGAAAATGCTTCTTGAAGCCCTTCCTGATTTTAGGCACAAGGATAAAAGTTCTTGCTTTCAGGTGTTTTAATGAGTTTACATTTACGTTAAAAATACGACAAGGACGATAATTGTTAGAAAGTGACTGCATTTGGCTTTCAGTTCTTACAGCAGCAGCAGCAACAACAACAACAATAACAACAATAACAACAACAACAACAAGAAAATAACGACAGGAAAGAATAACGCTGCTGCTTTTGCCGTTCTAAGTGAATAAGTGAAACTATTCTCGATCAGTTTTTGCTGATACAATCAAATTAGAGTTGAACATATCTCTTATTTAGGCTATTCAATCTAAGCGCAATGAAAAGTGCTTTTTTCCACCAGAACCATATTTATCCTTTTTCAATAGGAAGAGGAATCCGGCAGAGTTTCTTCCAAAATACAATGAAGAGAAAAGACCGAGATGGCAGAAAGACTGGAACTAGTAGGAGAGAACTAGACACAATGGGAAAGGAGGCAGCAACAAAATACTGCGAAACAATTTTTCTGTTGGTGTTCAAACGTCATTGGCCACAAACTTCTAATCTCCAGAAAGCCAATGTAGAGGAAAGAAATGTTCTACTTCGCTTGTTATTCTCCTAACGGTAACAACGACATGAATCTGGACAAGCCAATTGCCGCCTGATAGAGCTCTGGAGAACGCAAACGCTGTCGAAAGTGTGCAGCGGCGTGCGATGCTTTCCTCTAGTTTTTTAAGAAGCGCCGCCTCGATGTTTATTGGTTTCAGCCGTTGTCGCTGGCGTCATTGCCATTGTTATCACTGAAAAAGCACTAAGATGATGAAGGGAAGCAAAAAAAAAAAAAAAAAAGAAGATAATTTAGTGAAAAATGTTTTTGTTGCGGATGTATAAACTGCCAATTTTTCAATTTAGTAGTTTTCGACAACTGCGCATCCAAGAATTGTCATAAATATAAAAGAGCGACAACATAACCAAAAGATACCAAGAA